ACCGAACCTGACATCCCTAGTTCTGGCTTCTTTTATTGTGAGGATGTGTTTTGGTTTTGACAGTTGGTTAGACAAGAAAATCATTTTGAAGACAACACCTTGGGACCCTGGGGTCTGGGAACAGGCACTGTCTGACTGATTTTACAGAGGTTAACAGTTAATTGAAAAAAGAACAGACACAATAATCAATAATGAAAATAATCATTAGTCATAGCCCCTGTAAACACCTCCCAGCAGCCCCCTCCTTGTGCTTGGGAAAGCAGTAGAGGACAGGCAAATCGGAACAGTGAGAGTGAGTTCATCCCTCTGTAAGGATTTAGAGGACTCCCTTGTCTTTCACTTCATCAGAGACAATTGAGTCATTCAGCTACCATTGTGAGGCTGGCCAGGCGAGGAGGGGCGCGGGGCAGGGGGAGACAGAAAGGGAGAGGGGAGAAGGAGAAGCCGTCTGCTGCACAACCCGAAGCACAGCCAGGCTCTTACGGGGGGGGGGGTTCTGTCAAGGGGTCGTGTTAGTGTTTGTGTGTGTGGGAGGGATGGGGGTGGAGGGGGGCAGGAAGAGAGACAGAGGAGAGGAGAGGAGAGAGTTATCCTAGAACTCCGGAGCAATTTGTCACATTGGAATGGCTCTTGAGTTACCCGGGGGGCCCCCCTCATAGTGGGAGAGTTTTCAGGTCACAGAGTGGGGAACAGGGAGGGGCTTGGAGCAGCAGAGAGGGGTCAGAGGTCATGGCCTACTCAAGCCCAGGCGGTGCGTCGGTTAGCAGGGCAGGCGGGCGGGCGGGCGGAGGAAGAGGAAGGAGGCCAAGAAGGGGGTGGTCGGAAAGCCCGGTGCTTGCCAGGGCTCCGTTTTCCTTGGCATGCTTGTAAAACCTGCAGGAGAGATTAGTGTGTGAGAACATTTGCAATAGCAGGGCTGAAGTGGAGCCACTTGTCAGGGCATGCGCTGCGGCACCCTCCCTCTCTCTGTTGTCTTCCAGTGTCTCTCTACCCCGCCGCCACACTCGGGGGGTGTCACCTTCACGCTCCTTACCCACCTACTCAGAATGTCCTCTCGCTCGACCCCTTCTCCGGCTGCAGCTGCGTTTGAATATTTGCATGTGGGAGCATGTGTGCACACGCGATGGCAGGACTTTCCCATGACTGGACTCACAGTTCCCCCCGTATTCTAGCCCCCCCTGGCACCAATGGACACTGTCTTGAATTACCTCATAGATGACAGCAGCCCCGTCACTCTCTTCCTCCTCTTTTACTGTTACAACACCACCCCGTCCACCCCCCCTCTTCTCCCCCTCTCTCCCCTTCATGGCAATTAATACCCAGTGTGGGGGGTCCATAAAAACCCACAAGACCTCAACTCTGGAGTTTTTACAACCTTTCCTTTTTCCACTCTCAGGACATACAAACAAGCATAAACAAACCCAGTTTTTTAGCAATAAAAACCTTCCTGGGGTCATAAATGAGTGGTAGTGGTGGAGAAAGACCAGGCAGCAAACAGTTTTTTCCCTTGCATGGGCTGTAACCGAGGACATGGAGTCAATAACTCCCTCCAGCGTCTACCACTGGCAGGCACCCCACAGTGAACTCTTCGCTAATTACCACTGATTTAGACACAGTCTCAGGAAGGGTCGCGACACACTCCCTCTCTGACCAGCTCTGACACACACACATACGCACACACACAGCCTCAGACATGCATACAAACTAGCCGTCACCCTTGCTGGATGGCAACACAAAGAAATTGAATCTAATGTACCTGCACCACTATACAACTGCTACCAGAGAGACATAGCTTAGTTTCCTCTGCGCTTCATAGATTGTGTAGAATAATCACTGATGGTAGCATTTATAAAACAGCTGACTTTATGTCACCAAGTGCCAAAATGTGATCCTGGGATTTTGGCCAATAGTGATAGTGAGATAATTATGAAGTGTAACAGTATAGCAGGAACTGTCTTAGGTTTTATATCATTATTGCGAAGAAGCACATGATCTCAATCACTCATGAAATACAAGCAAATAGGATTCAGATAGCATCTCCAAATGTGGGTATCAGGCGGTGGAAAGTGTTTGGATTTCTCAATCATGTCGAAGGTTTATGTGCAAATGGCATCGCAGGCCCAGATCCAAGTCCAAGTTGACCTGTCAGACTGTTTTTAGGGGGATATTTGCTGCGGCTTATATGGATGCCCATCGAAATGACTCTACCTTTGTGATAGTACGGGAAGCAAAGGTTATAAAACAGGCCTTTTACCCACTTTTGTACAACCCCAATTTAAAAAATGTTGGGAAGCTAAAAACCAAATGCAATGATTTGCAAATCCTTTTTGATGCACAGCAGAGGAAATAAGTATTCAGCTTGTCAGAGTTATTTTTCGATATTTCAAGTGCAGCTTTTCACATGAAATTGAGACCGGACATTGGTATTGACTCAATAAAACTACTCTGACAGACATTTCAATTCATAAAAATTATGTGCACTAAAGTGGAATGACAGCGAAAAAAGCATTGAGTACACTAACTTGAATTTATTTAATACTTGGAGAAGCTTTTGCTCGCAATGCTAGTTTCAACACTCTTTCTGTCTGGAGAAACTGATCTCTCACGGTGTTCAGATGAGATTTTGGTCCACTCTTTGTCACAGACAGTCTTTAAATCTTACAATTTCTTCAACAGTTTGTGTCTTAAGTTCCCAAATGCTTAGTGAGTGTTGTTAAAAGAAAAGGTGATGTGACAAAGGGGTAAACATGCCCCTGTCCCAGCTTTTTGGAACGTTCCACAGGCATCAAATTCAGCATGATTCAGAATGCTACGTAGCATCCCCACTTTTTGGAATTGGCCAGCACCAATGGTTGTTTCTATTCTTTCCTTTGTTTTTTTTTGAGACAAACTATTTTACTGCCAAAATTAGGCTTTTTCATTTGAGCATGTGAACCTTAAACTGTCTTTCTCAGTAAGCGCTTCAGTGCTCCACCTAGGTTAACTGTTCTGGTCATTCTACCACCTGCCACCACACCAAATTCCCTTCTCAAATGTAACACTTGTAGTTTCTTGGAAGTGTCTTCAAGTATCTGTCAGTTACTTTATTTATCATTCCAAAGGCCACATGATCCTATCTTGCCATTCGTTCAAGATCCGCCGCACTGGTCTCATTTTAATAAGAAAATACTTCACTTTTAAAGCTGGTTCGCCCGTTACGCCTGTTATTTTCTTTTTCCAAAACAGTGGTGAAGAACACCAAGAGCAAATGCCAAGAGCTGAGTTTTCATTAAAACAAAATTATGACTGGTGTGTTAACTGCATGCCAAATTAATCAGAGCACACGGGGCCAAATTGCCTCCAAAGTTATTACTGGTTGCTGACAAGCCATGTAGCATTTAAAAGGCTATTTTTTGAGTCAAGCACTGTGCTCGTGTCTCATAAAACGCACCAGGGGCTACATCACATCATTTCCAGCGAACCTCACAGAGAACAATGAGGGCAAAAGAGCAAAACATTGAATCCGTCACCACATTAGCATGATGTCAACCTTTTTGTACCGACAACTGTGCAATCTTCACTTCACCTGTACAGCTGACTTTTGTAGGTTAGATAACAGAGCTTTGAGTGTCCTGCTGTTTCCACAGACATGTGAACTAACCACAGACACTTGCCTTGCACATGGACTCATGCTGCTGGAGAATGAATATAGGGGATAGATTGGAATGGATGTTACTAAAATATCAAGATTTTTTGGCCTGGTGAGGTGTTCCTATTGGCCAGGCTGGTACAGTTATATGGGAAACACTGGGCTTTTTTTTCTTAGTATGTATTATATTTAGTATTTCTTGGATTAAACCCATTTTAATTGAATGCAAATCCAGAACTGCCATCACTTATGTAGCCACTGAGGCTAATATCTGAATGTAATGGAACTTCTGCTGACTCAGGAGTTCACATTTTTTAGGCCCTTCATCCCTTAGTGCTCATTTCAAAGGACTTAAGAGCTGAAACAGCTGCTGTGACCTTTCCCTCAAACTAGGTGGCCTTGACATTGACAAGCAGAGTCTGGACCACATGCTATAGCAAGGTCAACACCAGGCTGACACATGTACACAGAATTTGCTGTTTTGATTCAATGTGAATCTGCACAAATAACGTGTTCTTTAATGACAGTAAATTGTTTTATTATGATTAAATATATTAAGATGAGGACACCAGCTCAGTCCTGTTCATTTTAGGTAGAAGGCACAAGGTAGTTAGATTAAGGAAAACAGTCAACACAGCACATGTCATCAAATTAAAAGGACTCCACCCAGTTTATAACACAGACAGATGTTTCTCATGACCCTTGTTTCTGCTTATCTGTTGTTCTGTGCTTGTGTGTGTGTGTGTGTGTGTGTGTGTGGGAGAAAGAGGGAGAGACTTCTGATAGAGGCCAAGTCAGTCATTTATGGGAGCAGTCAGGAGGTTTAGCCCCAGAGGAGTGTGGTGAGACGCCACGCTTTAACCTCTTTATGGGCTCCAGTAAAAGTCTGACAACAGTCACATTTATGACATTAGGTCATCTGAAAGCCGTGGGCTGTGTACAGTGCTACCTTTAACCTCTGCCCTCCCCCAACTCCAAACTGGTGACTTAATGAAATCCAAAGTCAGTCGTCAGCTACTTTAGAAAAGAAAATAGTTTTAGTGCTTACTGTGAGGGAGCAAGGCTAGTTAAAGGAGAGTTTTGTGCTGTGTGATTCTCTAAAAAAATGTGTTATTCAGTTTACACAGCTCCTGTGGTGCACCCCTGCTGGACTCTCAGATGCATGCTTGAGGCCATCCTCACCCCATCCACCATCCGCCTTAAGATCTTTATTTGCTTTTCCATGTTTTTGAGTTCTCACACCCTCGTACACCCGTCAAGAAATGTCGTCTCCCTTTTTTTGTCTTATTTTTAATTTGTCCTTTTTTGGTTTCTGCATTGTTAACATGTTTTGTTTTCTTTCTTTCCATTCTGTTTCCTTTCTGCCATTCAGTACCTACAGATGAAATGGCCCCTGCTAGATGTTCAACAAGGAGGTCTTCAGAGTAGACAAGCACTTAAAGATGCCAGGTCCCCGTCACCGGCACACATCGTTGTAAGTAACACCCCGCCCGGTACTTTTTTTCTTCCTTCACCAGCTCTTCTTCCCTGAGTCATGACAGAGAGACAAACAAACCCTGCTTTCCTCCTCTCATCCGTCCTGAATACGTCCTCAGTGTTACAGCCCTCCTCTCTGTTGGATGTTTTGATTGGAAAAATGCGTATTTGTTTGCATTTAATCACAGTCACTAACACGTCACCCAGTCAGTTGTGTGTAAACTTTTTTAATAAGTGCCATGAGCGTGTTGTGGATCGCAGAAAGTGGAGTTTGTGTCTGTTAGTGAGTGATCAGGAGGCGAGTGGCACCGGGGGCTGCCACTGTGGCAGGTGCAGCAGTTGTTCTTTGGACAGCCACGCCGCCTGTAATCCCAGAGAAAATGATAACTCCCGGCCCAGCCTTGCACTGAGCTGGAAGATTATGGAAAACCGCTCTTATGTTGACAACTTCTTTTTTTTTTTTTTTTTTTTCACGAGAATGAGCTAATGCTGGGCTGCCGTCTTTGAGGGAAGTGTGGGCGTTCCTTCAACATTGATTACCCTATCCATGGAGTTGGAGGAGTAGTCTGGCAGGAGAGTTGGCTGGACAGCCATAGGGGCATACGCTGCACATACACATAACAGAGCATCCACCCCAGGCATGTCAATATCTAAGAGGCAAGCAGCTCTAGAATGAGCTGTTGAACGTGAACTTGGTAGTTCGCTAAAGGCATAAAGTTTTCAGGAGGTCAGCGGAAAGGTTGAACATAGGGAGGTGTACGTATGTGGTCACAGGGTTAGCAAGCCAGGAAAATCAATGAGAGTGGGGATTGAGCAGAATTAGTGAGGTGATCATGAATGCCCCGGGCCATTATTGGCACAGTTGTTACTTTTTTTTTGTTATGGAGCCGTGCATCTTCTACATATCGTTAGGAAAATGAAAAATTTGAAAAATGCATAACTATTTTTTTAGATGGAGAAGCCTTCCAAGTTTGTGTGCTCATGAATACAATATCTCCTGTGGTAATAGTTCAGCCCCGGGGCTAATAATACACGGCTGACCCTTTTTTGTTTATGTGCTCCGTGCAGCAACATGGTTAGCAGTCGTCACGGCTGTGGAGCTGACACAGAAGGTAGCGATGATTTTTTTTATCACACAAATTACACCGTCAAGACACAGTGTCCCTCCGAGTCCCATTTGACATTTGATCAGTTCAGTTAGTTTTATGGTCTGTAATAAATACCATCTCGAACAGTTACTCAAAAGTTGGCAAGCCAAGGCCTCCTTGGTATTTTGCCCATTTAAGTTAAGCACGTCTTAAAATAGCAGGAGTCGACAGGGCTGTTTATTTGAAACAGAAACCTTGTCAAAAGTTGTGTTTAAGACAAAGAGCTCGCAATGACAGCGTTATTCTGAACAAAACAAGCCCGGCTAAGGCCCTCCTTATCTCTCCCTGCGATGCTCGTGTTATTTTTATACCAAAGAGTTCAGGGGCCTCTTCTTACTCTGTTATTTTAGGAGACGCTGAGAAAAGAGTCCCAACTCCTATGAAGTCATTAAACTGGTTGTAGGCAGCAAAAGCTGCAGGTAAATACTTGAGGTTTTATCCTGCTATGAGTCATATGGCTGTAAATACTTACCACCTCACATCCACCTAAACTCCTGCTGTACGATTCCCTTTTAAAGGAGGTTTGAGAACAGCAGTAAAGTGTAGTGGATCGGCTCCAACTTATGAGAATGCACCCCTGACGTCACTTTACATACATCTCTGTTGTGATATATTTTCTAATTCAGATTAAGTCGGGTGCTGAAATGATCAATAATTACAACAGAACACTTTGAGGTTTTATTTTTGGCAAAATGAATTCAGGCATCAATATTTCAGAGTGTACACAGACAGTTGTAATACAAACAGTCAGGCATGCAACACTAACAGGCTTGGAACAAACAGGCAAAGCCAAAACAGAAAGTGGCTGTGGGGCAAAAACAAACTTGAAACAACAAAGATGGACAACCAGTCAGATGGAAACAAATAAGCCTCCGCATCGCTGAAGTGCAGATCCATTCACAGCAACACGTCAAGTGACTGCACCTATTGAGCCACATGAAAATACAATAGAGAAGTGCGCGTCATGCGATAGATTAGCACGATGTAAAAACAAAAACATGTTGGTTAAAGTAGAGCTGTAACGATGTATCAATTAGCTATCAACCATTAAATTAGTCACCAAGTAATCTGATAATAGATTAATCATTTTGAGTAATTTTTTAAGAAAAAAAAAAGTCAAAATTCTCTGATTTTAGCTTCCTAAATATGAATATTTTTTGGTTTCTTTACTCGTCTGTGACAGTAAACTGAAAAATCTTTGGGTTGTGGACAAAGCAAAACATATGAGGACGTCATGTTTTGCTTTGGGAAACACTGATGGATGTTTTTCACCATTTTCACTTTATAGACCAAACAACTAATGGATCACTCAAGAAAATAATCCACACATTAATCACCAATTAAATTAATCGTAAATTGCAACCTCAATTAAAAATACTACATAACGCAATCCATCATTGGGTCTCTGTTCGATTTTCAGCACAGAAGAAACAACGGATTTGATTTGCTCGTGATTGAGATCTGACTTTCAGCCTTCAGATGGCAATTTTAGCCCCAACAGAAAATAAAGTTAACAGACTTGTCCAAATTCTAACGGTGTCTTCACAGGGTCAGATAGACAGTTGGATTTGATGATAAAATAACTCAGTATCTGAAACTTTAATGAACCCTCTGGTTTCTTTTCTTTCTTCGGGCTTTTAGTTCTAAGCAGGAGACAGAAGCAAAAGCAGAATGGGAGCAGTGGGAGCACCATTAAACTGATATTGTGATTAGTACTGACACTGATCAATATGAGAGAATATATTGTAATATTTGTGGTCATATTGCCCGGCCCTGGTGTGATCTGTTTGATAGAGTACACAGGCTGGTAAGATCAGAGGCATTGCAGCATCGCTGCATAGGCACACATCTCGCTGTTAGCACCAAGTGATAAAATTGAATGTGAAACGCAGCTTGTATAGTTGCCGCTCCTGCCATCCCGCTCCAGCATCCACCTCTGACTGAGAAGGAAGTGTGATTGAATGTTTCCCTGGTTTGCATCATACCGGCTGTTCATATAGAAAAGACAGATTACTGTGGACAGCATCGTGAATGCCAATGATAACCCCACACGGACACCCGCTGGTGTCACTCAATCAGTCAAGCTTCTTTTCTTTTCTTTCTTTCTTTTTCCTTAACTAGAAGATGTAGGCATGTTCTCGTACGTGATCCCCTTATCAATAAATTGGGCTGTAAATGGTAGTTTCTTTTTGTTTACAAATGCAAAGAACCACTCAGGCACCTTGATCTCTCCCTGGCTGGAGCGCTAGCAGGCTGCATTGGCCGTGATAAGAAGCCGTGGATTGGCTGGCGAGATAACAGCTGACCCTGAGACGGTTGAAACAACAACAGAAAGACAGCGAGAGATGGAGGGAGAGATACAGATGGCTGCAGATAAAGCCTGTTAGAAAGTTGTGGCTGAAGAGACGGATGGAAGGGAGATGGACAGGGACGGAGATGCAGACACACGGTCTCATTTTCTGGCTGGAAGGCTCAGCCGAGGCGGAACGCTGGAGGACCGGCCCAAGAAAAGAGGAAGTGACCTCACGCAGGCTGGTCTTTCTGAGGGCGTGCTGTGTGCCCCTGTTTACTATGCCCTCAAAGGGGGCCACGCAGGACCCTTTGAAGTGCCTGACCACCCCGCAGGCAGCCTCAAAACCTGCCGCCGCTGAACTTTTATGCCATTGGCTGAAAGTTATTCAATATTTATCCACCTATTGATGTGTATTTTTTGAGGGAGAGACTCCAAGAAACATTTATATGCCTCACACAGCTCCTGAGGGAAAGATCACAAACAGTCCTTGCTTTGTCAACTTGACTTTTATTGTGATGTTTTAATTTGACATTGTGGACTTGAAGAGTCTTTGTGGGTACTTAGCAGGAAGTGGCTTAAAAACTGGTGGCCGAATTTAGGAAGTGGTGTGTGTATGTTTTTTACTTAGACTGTTATTATTGCATTAACCCAATAACACGACATAACATACCAGATTGTTTTGTGTGTGTGTTGATACCAGTGACTGTATATAAAGATGTACGGCAAGAGTCTGTGCAGTAGCGGTCTCCACCGTGTCAAGTTCCCGCCCATACACCTGTCAGATTAATCATGAGCAGCGCCATTGATCACAGGCACTCAAATGGCACACACAGCTGTCAGTCATGTTGTCAAACCCTGTTTTAATAGCATCAAATAACCAATTAAAACCAAACTTATAAGGATGGAGGAGCTATCATTTCGTCCATCTTTATATACAGTCTTTGCTTCGTAGCATCAACAATAGTGCAGTAAAGGACTCAGCAGGAGCCTGGGCAGATGTTGGTGATGTCATGACATCATTTGGCTGAGCATTATTAAACCGTCTCATCTCACAAGTCGTGTGATCAAACTTTTTTTTTTAGCTAAAGAACAGCACCTCCAAATTGCGATATGAAAGCATTGTAAACACAAGTCACTGTTTTTGAATCAAGTTTCTTAATTTCTGGGAATTGGGGCAGAAACATGCAAATGTTAAGAGCATACACACACACACCAACTTCTTTCCTGACATTCACGTGCATACACACACATACACACGCGCACACACACAGCCTTAGAGTCTAGAGCCTAGCCCTGGTCGAACAATGTCTCCATTGTTTTGTGGGCTTTCACTGGCAGCAGGGGACGGCTGGAGTGTTAACCATTTCCCAACTGCGCCTTGCTGTGTGTTATTGTGTGCGAGTGTGTGTGTGTCAGAGGTAGTGAAGCATGGGCTCAGGGATGAAGAGAGGGAGGGCACTTGCTCCAAGTGTATGGTAATTAGTGTGGAGGAAGTGATGGAATCTGGCCATTTTTATGGCCTGCAAGACCTCCCACCTCAGCCTTTACAACTACTGAACATGCTTATCTTATTCCCATTCAGTCTTGTTTCTCTGAAGAATGTGTACTGGAAAGAGGCAGTGTGAAAAGAGCTGACGTGTTTTTGATATTATAAGAGAGAAAAAAAAACTTAACAGAACCTCGTCTTAGCCGGGCATTCAGAAAAGACACGCCACAATGACTCTGTGGATCCCAACAATGGGCCAAAGCACTGGACAGGCATGCGACTGCTACTCTAGGTTGGTGTTAGAAAAAGACAGAGCCGGGATCACATTCACCTTCCTTGACCGCGTCTCTGTCCGTTTTAGAGGAATGGGGATAAAGGGGGCTTCCTGTGGTCTGAATGGGCCGTGCACCTGGGCTAAGGCAAACAATTGCCCAGGACTCTGGGATGCCTGGCCTCCTCAGCTGTTAATGAGCGACCCCATGGTCAGCAGGCGCCACCCACACACTGTCCTCAGGCTTTACCTAGAAGGCTTTCTCTATCCTGACTTATGCCGACCTTAAACTGCTCTTTCCCTCTGCATTTCAAGCCTTTTTCCAAATAACCTCTACCCTGCTTTTGTCTTCTTTCTGTGCACGAATTCCTCCGTCCACCCTTAACCTTTGCTGCAAGAGAAAGCTCACATATTTATTTATTGTTGTGGTCACTGTTGGCATGTAGGATTGACAGAACTGACAGGTGGAATCTCTATCTATAAATAAGTTCTCAGTTGAATAACAGGAAGTTTACTGTATCATTAAATATATTAAGGATATCCTCATCAACGTTTTCTACCCCTGATCCGGGCCACAATACTGAGCATCTGCCGATACCGAGTACGGATCTGAAGCTTCCAATTTTCTAGATGATACAGCTGCTCGGTGCACACTAAAAGTGCTTCCAAGTAATTAAAATCATTCCAATGTATGTGCTTGACAATTGAATAGCTCTGCAATACATTAAGAAAAGAAATGCTTGCATCCAAGCTGTTCTTTAAGGTTTTTTTTCCGAAATACAGTAGAAAATAACAACCTTCTCTTTAGTCTTTTTGGCCTCTAGTCTGGCGCTCTTGAATGAATTTAGCTCTCTCCTTTTAAGAGAACATCCTGCACTGTTTGTTGCTTCAGCTCAGTTGCGCCTGAGTAAAATGAACAACCTGTATTTCAGTGTCGTCTGTACGTTTCCTGCGCTGATTACATTAATGAATGACTCTTCTTGGCTGTTTGCTCATGGGGCTTTTGTTGCTTTTGCAATGCCGTGCTGAATGGTGTTGTCATTGACTCTCCAGTGTTCTGCATCAGCGGCGAAACACCGTGCGCCATAAATGACAGCAAAACACAAGAGAGACTCACACAGAGCTGGAATTAAACAAGTGCACATAAATTAGGCCTCTATATGGCTCAATATAGCCAATTCCGGTAAGTTAAAGGCCTTGATCTGCCTCGATCTTTGAGTTTGACGGTGGCACTCCTAATTTATATTATATACGTATTATATATATATATCTTAAAGCTGCAAAATATGAGGAATATATGCCATAAAGTTGTTGAATAGCAAGCATATTTTTATTCTCCTACCCAGCATAATAGTGGTCCGTACCTGGTCAATATAGCTAGAGGGAATTGTATCTTTTAAGATTGATGGGTCCCCCAATAGATGCAATAGATGGTTGCAAAAGGGGACTGTCTGACCAATAATTCTCTGGACAGAATCATGAACTGATGTCCAAAAGTCCTGAATATCACGTTTATGATATTACTTATGACAAACAGATATTAAAGTGTACTCAGAACTGCCTTTCTGTGCTTTCAGTATACTGCTAAAATACCACAAATTGCTTGTTGAAATAAAAAAAGAAGGAAATTATTTTGAACATTGAACTAAACAAAATGCAACAATAAAAAAGTGATAGTTTCATTTTAAATTGCAGTTTTCCACTTGCACTCTTTCAGCTGACTCAAAAAATCCCTGAGTACAATGTCACAGTTCTTCATGATGTGTTTATCACTCAAGTTGACATCTCGATGACGATAAAAAAGATATATCAGTGCGATAGATATTTTGATTTACATATACCGTCCGTGATTGAAGATTTTATCCGTTATCGCCCAGTTCTTTTTGGCCCGCCATCCCGATCTCAGATACAGGCCTTTGTGTCTGTCAGCTGTCTCTCGCCATCTCTCCAGACAAGACGTTTGTTCGAGGGGTCACGCTTACATCATCGGCTCGGGCCAAAATCTGAGACGTCGCGTCAGGCCCCGGGAACAGTGACAAAGAAAATGAGAGCACCTCAGTCATTGTATCTGTCCAGCAGTCTGGACGGCGGCTTGTTCCACAGACAATCCACTCAGTGTTGGCTTTGTCAGCAACAAAACCACAACAATGACAGAAGAGTCTCGTCGCTACTTTATGGACTCAACAGAACACCTTTTAAATTAAAGGTCCCTTAATTAAATTGCTAAGAGGGTCCGTTAGGTTAAATAATGATGTTAACTGACCGACCAGAATTTGTGTATGTTGACTGTGCGAAGGATATCGTCGAGGATCCTCTTCTTTGCACCATTTTATTGCAGGAAATGTGAACAGCAGCGTCTTGTATTGTCTCTGTGTGTTTCTCTGTGTGTGTGAATAGCTCTAGGGCCGTTGCCGTCTCTTTTCCTCGCTGTGGTATTTGACCGATAAATAACCCCTGTGAACATAAGCTACCACAGGGAACGTGTGACTCTATGTTGGACATGCACATTTAAAAGAAAAATACATATTTGTTTCTCTAAGTGTGTGTGTGAGTGTGTTTCACCAGTAACCACAGTGCTCACTGTCTAGCTGTTATGAAAAGTTATCTAGCTGGCCCCAGGGTCAAGCACAAGTACAAATAGAACCCAGTGATCTTGCTGCAGTGAAAGCGACCTGCACAGTAGCTTTTAGGTGCTGGAGCCCTTCAGTAAACTAAAGGCCCTGTTGCTTTTCTCTGCATGTTCTGAGGCTTCCACTAGCATGTCCTTTCTTCCTTAGGAAATCAATAACTCCCTTTCCCTATTTTCTTCTTCTTTCTTCCTCTACCTGTCCTCTGTCATCCCCTGACATCTCTCAAAGAGATGCGAGATCTGAATTTTTGCTCCTAGGAGCAGTAGGTACAAATCTGCCAGGTTAACCTCTGAATCCATCCTCCCCCTCGAAAGAAACTTGTGTTTGAACAGCTAGTAAGACTAGGCAGTTCACCACTCCAATTTTAGTGCACACAGTGAAGGGATAAAAATAGCAGACATGGCTGCTCTAGGGACCCGTAGTCAGCATACTTTACTTTTATTTACTTTATAATTGTACTTTTAACTATCGATACATTGATGTGGATCGATATGTTGAATCAGAGATCAATATTCCGTTATTATTAATGCAAATTTAATCTATAACCCTTTAAAATTAGAAGTCCATCGAGCAGTTTGCACAATGATCCTTCAAAATTAAAAGTCGCAACAGCCAGAACATTGATTATTCTTGCAGCAGAAAGCTAAGGCTTCTGTCTTCCACGTCATCATATCGTTACGTTACGTTACGTTACCATACGTTAGGTGCAAACACTGTGGCTGATGGATTCCAAAATCTACCAGCCACTCTATGGATTACAGTTGTTTAGTGGCTCGTTAGTGAAGCAAATGTAGCAGCCACTTGCATATTTCACCGGCATTCATCTGGTGGATGGTGCGGATTTCCAACTCTGAGTGCAAACGTAGTGACTGTGCAATGGCGCCGGTACTTCCCATAATCCGATATCAATCTAAAGTAAAAGCAGTAATAGCTAGAACATTCATTATTTTTGCATCAGAAAGCTAAGGCTTCTGTCCTCTGTGTCATCATGTTTTACACTTGTGATGACGTCATTACGTTACGTTATGTGCAGTGCAAAAAACATGATGAAAAACACACATTGGCGTGAGTGGAATGAATGATAAAACTATTAAAATGCCTTTGCATACTGCTCATAAAATGGGGCATATCTCAAAAACTAAACACTGCACATAGTTCAAATAATTTACGGAGTGTTAAGATGTACTCTGCTCATGTTTATACTGTAAGAAATCTTTTGGATAAATATGTTTTGTGAGTTTATTTTGTAAAAGTTTGTGAAAAATAAGGCAGTTTAAAAAAAAATAATAATAATGTTATTAATTAAAAGGAATATGAAGTATTTGAAGATACTCCAAGAGTAAAACATCAAAGTAAGCAAAAATATCAATGTAGGCACTGGCGGCATTGCTATTGCACAGTTCAAAAGGTTAAGATATACCTTTATTTTGAAATTCCCATGGCATGTTCAACATCCAGACAGTGCTAGCGACCTAGCGCCAAGTGGATAATCTGTCAAGGTAAAGACAATTAGGATATTTATTGACTTATATCATCGAATCTAAATCTAATCGTGGAACGCTTTGTGATATCAGTGAATATCGAATTGTTGTCCAAAGAATCGATATCATATCGTGATGACACTTGTAATTCACCTGCTTTATACCGCTCTAACATCAAGAAAAACATGACCCTGGCACTCTCATAATATGTAGAACTTTGTGTTGACAGTGGATCCTCAGACCAGCTGACTCCTCCTGACCGTGTGAAGGTGTGTGTGCCGAGGATGTTCTACCAAAGCGAAATATTGTTTTAACAACCAGTCAGCCAGCACCAACAGCCGTGTACCCAGAGCAGAGCCGGTGTTCTCCCGTTCAATCTGTGTAAGATTAGTAATAACGGGGGGCCGAACATGCACCCAGGAGAAAGCTGAGCCAGCAGAGACGAGCTAGTAGTTTAAATAACTCAAAAGCCAGGGGATGCATTATTTCCAGGGAGAACACGTTTCTTTTGCATAAAACCTGGCCGGCTGGGATTGTGTGCAGATGTATATGTGTGTGTGTGTGTGTGTGTGTGTGTGTGTGTGTGTGTGAGTGTGAGAGAGAGAGAGAGAGAGAGAGAGAGCACGAAGGAGAGATGGAGAGCTGATATAATTGTGTGACTTGGGAACGTCCATCTTTGCCTTTCAGGGGCCCTTCTGCTGGGAATTCCCCGGACAGTCAGATCTGAGCCTTCACCAATTTCATTTGGTGAGAGACCTTTGAATTCCAAAAATATCTTGTTGGATTTTTTTGGCTGATTCCACACGCAAATTAACCACTGATGATTTAAAAACAAAAATAATGAATGAATAAACTAAATTCTGGTGATGATGATAATGATGATGATGATGATAATCATGCTGTGTTGTGCTTTGTGCTGTAATTCAGTGCTGCTGCTTTGTTGCTGGTGTGCTTCTGATTGTCTTCAAATGTCAATCCAGGTGATGGGATGGGATATTTTAGGTGTTTTAAAAGTGCTTACTTTAAATCTTAAACACCAAACAGAAGCTGTCCATCTTCACAGGGTAGTAGAGGTGTTTACTTTATCTTCTGTTTGGCTTTTAACTCTTTTCTGTGTCGTAAGGATTCTGTTTGCCTTCTTTATTTGTCTTATGACTAACCGGCCTCAGTTTCTGGATTGTTCTGGTGTAATGACAACATCCTTTTTAGCTTCACTGTGGATGCATTTGGTTTGAATTAGGCCACAGTCCGCCGGCAGGAGAAGGGAGTCTTTCTGTTTTGTTTGTATTGCTTCGAGAAGCTGTTTTGCTGTCTTTATTAACAGCATCTGGGTCCCAATGCAAGACAGAGATACACACAGAGCAATAGCACACACTGTTGATAGATAGTCTAACCTGACCGTGGCATTAATAGAGATTCCTGTGTCCTTGTCCTGCAACTTTCATCACACAAAACCCCTTCAATACGAGCCTGTGATTTTAAAGAAAGTTGGATCCGTAATGTAAACTTAGTCTTGATGTGACGGCGGAGCTGACACGCTGAGGACATCAGTAAGTCTTGTTTTGGTTTGCTTCAGTCAGGCTGTGTGAAGTTGGATAGACGCTGGCATTACGAAGCCCAGAGGACGACTTATTAATCTCCTCTGAGGCGACCGTGGCTCTGTGGATTGCCGTCTTGAATTGTTTGACTAATCAATTGCTTTTTGATTTCGCACACGCCACAGGGCCTTTGTTGCCAGTAAATAACACGAGTCCAAAAAAAAAAGAAAAAAAAAAAGAAGGTAAATCGTGCTTTATTGTGCAAATAGCTATAAATATGTTGGTATAGTCTACTAGGATTTTAAAAAAACATTCCTCTCACCGTGTCAACTTGCTGCCTGCCTCCCCTCCCTCTCTTATACAAGCGTCTTTGCTAGAACTTGTTTGACAAGGTCTGGCAGGATCACTGTTGGGTGTGCCTGTCTTTCTGCTTGTGTGTGTGTCTTACAAACACACCTTTGTCTACACTAGCGTATGTGTAGTATCGCTGTGTCTAAGGTGTGACTTGAGTTTTAGATGACAGCTAGTCGGAGCTGGGTCAGGTCAGGTTATAACTTTCATGTGTTTGCATACAACAACAACATGAACTCGTTTAACCCAGAGATGTGACTCGTAGGCCGGATACTGAGCAAGAGGATTTAAAAAAAAAAAAAAAAAACTTTTTAGAGAGATGTTGTAAGTGGGATTTGGTCCAGAGTTCATTCGCACAAAGAACTGGGATCAAGGTTCAGAAGTGATATTGATAAATAATCTAATTTATGATGAACCACTCCTAACAGAGCCGACAGGCGAGTGCACTCATCTTTGACAAATCTCCCTGGATAGCGCGATCGCCCAGCTCCGTTCTGCGGCCGGCCTGGTGAGCGACAACAGACTCAGCAGCTCCCCTACGCTACTGTATTAACACTGGAGGCCGTTTCACAGGGAAACTTGTTTTGACAGAACTCCAGGTGCCTCATTGTTGGGGCTGGCATGGTTCAACAGATTTACCAATTAGCACTGGGCTGAGGGCACAGGAAGGGTGGGAGTGGAGGAGAGGGGAGGAAAGAAATGAAGCTGGGGGAGGAGGAGGAGGGAGAATGGATGAGGCGGATTTGGCCACAGTGATGGAATGAGGTTTTGAGTGAGAGGTGCTGGTAGGGGAAGGTGTGGAGAGGAGGGGAGAGGAGGGGAGGGGGGTTGTGACCATACGGAGGCAGGCTGGAGTAAGGCGATCCGTGACCTCGTTTTTTTTTTTCTCAGCAGCAGTATGGAAGGGGCTGAGGTTTGAGTCGAGCCACAAAGAGGAGGGGAACTATATAGAAAGAAGGAAGAAGGGGGCAGCTGAGGAACACCATTAATACATGACAACTTTTTTTCCCTCAACATCCACCTTATTGCAGCTGAAATTCTTCGTCCTGCTTCTCTCAATGAAGCATATTTTAGCTAATTTATTATAGATAAACTCCTGACACTTGATTCTGTTGTTATGCGTTGCTAACACACATCCGTCTGCAGGAGCGTCGGGTTTGTTTTCGCTGCAAGTCCCCCTTGGCTTGCTGTTCTCACTCCGGTACGAGGCAGAATTGTGTGGGATTAAACACAATGTTATTACTCTCACTAACCCTCTTTGTTATTCCTCAGAAATGTCTGCTCCTTTTTCCAGGAAGTTTGGAAGTGAACTTTTGAGAACGGGGTGAAGCGATTTAGTGAATATCCCAGGGGTGGCCTGCAGAATTTAGAGTAGTTTTTGCCTCTTGAGTGTTGTGACACTGGTACACGCGTATTGTAGCATGCATGTACTGTAGGTACATGAGCACCGTGAAATCACCGCCCTTTGTTTAGTCGAAAAATAAAAAAGAGGGGGGGGGGGGCTGGAAATATATAACAACTGAGGGTGTGTTTGCAATATTGTGCCTCGTTCAAGCTGACAGCTTTTTTGAAGTTGAGAAAAGTTTCACTTTTTTAGAGGAGCGCGCTTTTTTGTGTGTGTGTATATTTGAGTCGACCAATCACAACAAAGGAAAGTCAGGCTTTCTGTATGTGTAGGAAGCTGTCAGTTTACTACAACAACCAGACTTAAAACTGTGGTAGAGGAGGAGAAGTTGGGGGGGTGGCTGTTTGTCTGATCTTTTAGTCTGTAGGCAGTGCAGGGGATGTCTTGTTTGAGTCACTGTTCAATATCAGGGACAGAAGTGAAGCTCATGGCAGCCACGCTTTCACCAGTGACCTTGCCTCAATCTTTGTAAATGCTTCCAACATTTTCTGTTTTCCTGTAATCACTGAGCAGGACTAAATTCATTAGCACTGGGAATGCTTTTAAATAAATATTTGGGCTTTAACACTCAAAGCTTAGATATTTATACTCGGCTTTACCAGTGCTGACACCCAGATCTTGTGGGCGACAAGGGCAGTGCTAAGATAAATTAAGACAATAGTGTTCAAGGATTCATCTATTCCTAGGTGCCACATGTACCTCAAAGGATGAGTGGGCAATATGGCCAAAACTTTCTATCACTGTATATGTAATGGTTTAAAATTACAATGCAGTGCTTCATCACATTTGGAACTTCCATTCAAACAAAAAATGACTACCTCACATTAGAGTTGGGTACTGAACTCAGTACTTTTAAGGGTACTACCGTAGTACTTGGGTACTACCGATTCCCGTTAAATCAATCAGTGCCAATTTTTGGTACCTGAGATCTCATCTGCTCGTTCAAAAATTACGTTCTTTGTTCATACCGAAAGAGTGAAGTACTGAAAAAAGGTATCGCTGGGTACTGGTACCGAATTCCAAGTACCGGCACTGGTTCAAATGTGAACGGTACCCAACCCTACTTCACATGAGACAACACTTGGTTTGAAACAAAAACTCAATACCGGAAAAACTCGAATTCTCTCGAAATGGAAGCTTCAAGGTTCCTGAGAACAATAATTTCAAGTGTTACAGGTTTCTGTGTTTTTAACTTCACTCTCCTCCTCCATGTTTGCTGAAATCCTGTTACCTTGCGACGCAGATTGATTCATGAGATCATGCGAGACTCCAGCCCTGATTTGCAGCATAGTCTGCCCCAAAGAGCTCCCACCATAGAAACGATATTGCAGAATCTTCACCAGTGGACTCATTTCTACTGTAGCATGGTATATGTCGTCATATCGTCCAACCCTACCTCAAAGCAGTCGATATTAGAAAAGCAATCCCCAGACTGTCATGGCAACGACTGGAGGATGGAGGGCTTTTGTCAGTGGTCAACGTTCCTCAGGGAATACAAAGGCCGAATTAAGTAAGGCAGTAAGTACAGTGTATACCATCCTACTCTACCTCAAAGCAATCAATAATCATAAAAGCAATCAATAATCAAACTACAAAACATGTTTTTAGGGATGCACCAAACAACTTACCGCTATGTCTTTAATTACAAGCTCCAGATCACTGCGCGACCGCATGAATCTCACTGGTTTTGTAATGACTTAGCGTTGAGCGATCCCACAATTGCTATGGCGACTGCCTGTTGTCTCCATATGTACAAGCAGCTTGTGATTGAGAGTGATGGAGACAGCTTTTTGGGCAGGGAGAGAAGACTGGGGACTAGAGTGGGGAAGGATTGGAGGGGGGAGAATATGAGGCCCCGCCAAATTCCCCAAAGAACAATTTACAGTTATGGATGAATACACTGTCACAGTCAAATTTTAACTCCGTGGATGTGTGTGTGCGCATGTGTGTTGAAGACAGTGGAATGCTGAGTGATTCCAGAGAGCACTTAAGCTGCCTTGAATTCAGTTTTCTGTTCCCGTCCGCGTTATAACAGGAGAGGGGCTTTTCTTTGGAGTTTGCAAGGGTAAACACTGGGTATCTGCTTTCTGAGTCATTTAGCATCGTCCTCTGTCACCTTCCTCATATATTCTAAACAGTGTTTTCAGGTTTGTCGGGCCAGCCTGAACGAGACTAACCCCCCAATTTATTTGATTTTGTTCCTCTTGGCAGTTCCACTGAAGACCTATCTGAACTTTTCTTGGATTTGTTTGGCTCCGGTTTTGATGTGCGTGTTGTTATTTTTTTTCTTCTCCGTCTTCCAAGTGTGTGTAGTCGACGGTGCCTGAGTGCCAGGCCCTGCTTTTGTCTCGGCCCAGGGAAGGAATTTGATGTGAGACTTATTTTCCTACCCAGTCAGTTTCTTTGAGCGTCCCCCCCCTCCCTTCCTCTGTTTCTGCTTTTTTTGTTTTTGT